TCCACTCGAAAAAGAATTTGCTCTTGCCTTCTTGTGACCGTTTTTTCTGTCTACACATAATTATAGAAATTTCATACTAATATTTATTTTTCTTTGGTAAAAGGCACTTATAAATTCAAGTGAATTACTGTTTATTTAGCTCACAAGGATATCTACGACCATATACATGTAAGTTGTGATTTTAAAACAATCGAAATTTGTTTTATAACATTCTAAATACAATATTCATCATATTTTGAGTAGTTTTAAGATATCACTCTGTCGCTTTTAATTTGAACCTTTAGAAAAATAAATTGTAATGGCAAATTCTTATACAAAGTGCGTATGCATCGATTTTGTTAGAATTTCTTGAGAGTTTGGCATCTATTTTATTCATATAGGATTCCACCAACATACAATAGTTTGGTTGATCCAAATCTTCAACATCATTTCAGTGATGAACGTATTCGAAAACATTTACAACGAGCCGGATTAGTAAGTAGATCTGTATTAACTATGTGCTTGTAGTTTTAAATTGTTGCTGACCTTCTTGTTCTGACTAGATAAATCGTCATGGTCAAGTAATTGCACAACGCAATCGAGAAAGAAAACAAAAGGATCAGGATTTCGCGGCAGATATAAAAAAGAAATTTGTTGAAAAAACAGTTGAAAAGTAACTACGTCGCTTTCTTTTTCGATATAACGTTGAAAACGTTTTTTTCTTTTTAATGTGTGCTTTAGTATACAACAATTGGATCGTATGCGACAGGCTGAATTTCGGGATCAACTCGAACAAAGAGACAAACGTTATTCGTATTTATTTCAACGCAATGAAGTAAGTAGAAAGCAAGTAAGAAAAGAAAGATGATAATACGTAAAATAATCTCTTGTAGGAAGCGAATAATCGACGACAGCAACTGTTACGTATGTACAATAATCGAAAATTCCAAAAAGTAATTATTTCTTTAAAAAGAACGAATACAACGAGATGTAGTAACTTTTAGTTTAACCAATCTTATATCGAGTCGGACGCCCAACTTTAGCACTAATTATTAGTAGTCAGTTTAAGAAATGTAAATAGAGTGTAGTAGTGGAAACAACAAGACAAGCCCATTTCAGATACTAGAGCATATCATAATCAAGGCTTGAAGGCTATTCGGTAGTGGATTATGGTGAAACATAACGTGTTGGTTAACTATTTAGATATATTGACATTCTTTGGCTTTTTTTTACGTTTTTTATAAACGAAGGGAAGCCGTCAAAACTATGAACAAATCAAAATCGGATCAAACGAATCATTCGAATCATTCGAATCATTCGTAGAATAATGTAAAGCGCTCCTCTGTGATGTTTGTATAAGAGATAAAATATATAAAATCCATCTTTTCTTTTCCATTTTATTTATTTTTTCCAATAGATTACTTTTTGTTAACTCTTATATATAACACATCGTTTGATCCGACTGATTTGTTCATAGTTTCATCGGCTTCCCTAAGTATATTTAAGATAATTGGAAAACATGTTTTGTAAAATTATTTTGAATAAAAAGCGAGCTTTCGATACGTCATAGTATCATCATCAGGGACATATAACTGTCGAGTTTAGAAGCGAGATAATTATATATACTAGATGAAACAGGAGAGAAAGAAAGCACTAAAAACTTGTTCTCTTCTGAACGCGACAGTTATATTAGCCTGATGATGATACTGTGAAGTATCGAAAACTCACTTTTTATTTAAAATGATTTTACGAAAATATTTTTGAATTAAATTAGCTGTTTAGATGTGAATTTAAGAAAATATAGAGTATTCCTCCTTAGATCGCTTTATATGCGTAAGATTAAAAAATAGGAGTCAAATCAGAACAGGCATTGCGTCTAGAAACGGTTTGTTTGTTCATTCATCACTTTGTTTATTTCAGCTGTATAACAGTAGCAAAGTTTGTCATTTTCTAGTCGAAACAAAGAAGTGGGAATGACACCAGTTAAAAGCATTTTTATCTAATCAAATGTAAAGTCGCACGCAGTCTGATACAAAAGACAGTACATGAAATAGTGTTCTACTGTCTCCACAGTCATACCCTAGTAGCATTCACGCTTCATTTCGCGGCAAGAATACAGCCTCATCTTGCTGCGATTTTGACAAGATATTTGAAACTTTACGCGGGACCGATACCGCGATCATACCTAATCTTGCTATTTTTCCCGTGCAACGAAAATTTAACAATCTTGACGCGAAAATTCTTTCACGGAATCGCGCTGAAATCCTGCAAAGTTTGCGGCAGGATTAAAACGGGATCCGGACAGGAGTGTACCAAGATCCCAGTGTGATCAAAACCAGGTTGTAGAAAGGATGAACAAGCTTTCCTTTAGCTTCTTAGAGATCTTACACCGAGGGAACTCAGATGATAACTCAACCTTTGTGTGTATTACTCTCATTGTTGTGCATTTTCATTCTGAGATCTCTGCACAGTCAACAGATTTAACTGAACCTACACATGGGAGATGACTTTAGATATGGTGCATTGCCGAGAAAGAATATTCTCTTTCGATTCTAAAACTGTCAAAAAGAAAACAGTTCAACTTTGAGACAAAAAAATAAATTTTCCTCTTCGAACACTCTTGTTCTCTCGAAAATTGCTGTGTATTTACTGATGACAATAGTCAATTAGTTAGTCTATTTCCACTAACTACAACAAAACCCAAAAAAACAATGACAGAAAAACACTCGTTGCACTCCGTTAAAAGGTTAAGAAATGACTAACTGACTTGTATTGTATATCTGTTATATACGTTAAAAGAGAACAAAGAATAAACACAGTGGACGGTAATATACGCACACTGTCTGCCTATTTTTTTCCTTCTACCAACGGATGGACGAAATAAAAGAACATTACACCGTTACAAACTGAGATAGAGGAAAATACGAAGTCAGTGTGATTCTAGTTTCGTGCGAGGATTGATTTTGTACTTTGATAGTTTAAGGAACAGAATGATATAATAATAAAAAATTTTCCTCAACAGTGGACAATGGAAAAATCTCCTCAAGATCTGTCTCAAATTAGACACGATCTTACTATAATCCTGCCGCGATCCCGTCACTCTCTAGAAACAAATGAAACGGGATCGCATAACGAACTTGATCAAGAACACTATTACAATTATAAGAACGTGATTTTATTTTACCAAGATCAGCATTTTTTCGTTACACGGGAAAAAATCGGATTCGCGATCAGATCTCAGCAAGAATGAAACGGGAACGCCACTAGGGTAGTAGAGTCTCATCTCTTAAAACTACTCTTATAAAGTCATCATTCAACCGAGTGAAGCCTATGTGACGATAACAGACGTTTATTCCACGCTTGTGACAGTCAGAAATCGTATATTTTCGTTAAACTTTTCTCTGAACGCTTTGAATCATAAAGTTGTAAGACTCTCTGGAGATAGCCTTGAATGCTTGCATAAAAAATAGTTTTTTTAAAGCAATTTGTCAATGAAGATACGGTGAAACTAACACCGAAAGAATTCGATCTTTCAACTAATAACGGACGAGCTCAAACGGTTCCCAGCGGGTAAGATACCAATTTTGTTGAATAAATATTCAATAATATTATTTTTGGTTGATTTAGAGTCACACGACAACATACAGTACCCGTCCATCAGTCATCTTCATCTGCCACAATTGGAGCTAATAGTGATATCTCCAGTACAGTTGTTCCATCATCAACAAAAGAATCTCAACAACTAATGAGGAAACCTAAACCGCCTTTTATGCATGATAAATTAGTGGAAGAATTAACAGATATCAAAGAAAAACAGCGAGAACTATCAGAAAAACAATCATTTTTGCAACGAAAAGCTGATACACTACCAAAAAATACCAATTCTGCGTTACTATTCAGTATCGAAAATATGCTGTCAACACTCAGACAGCAACAGAGTGATTTAGACGAAAAACACGCAACTGTAGTTCGTCGAATGGACATATTAGAAAAGAAACAAACTGAACGACAAGAAGCAGCTATCAATAATATTCAGATTGATGATATCAAAGCATTACAACGAGAGCAAGTTATAGCAAAAAATGAACGTGATCGACACACACGAGATATACAAAGTGCTCAAGAACAATTAAACAATCTATCAAAACCAACAGTAGATGTTGATGCTTTGAAAAGAGACGTCATTAATCTTCAAATAGCTCATCAATCAGCAAAAATCGAGCAAGATTGCACGAAAGGGGAAGTAAAGGAGCAAAGCATTATCATAAAAGGACTAGAAACAAGAATTGATCAGTTATCGTCCACTTATCAATCATTCACGACATCTGTCGCAAAACAAACGGATATTCAAACTCTAAGAAATACCATCAATACGATACAAGATGCACAGGGAAGTACAAAAAGAGAAGTTGATCAACAACGAGAAAAATTAGAGGTCTTTCAGAAACAGTTAGACGCTAAGCAATTGGCTATTGACGGTTTGAAAACCGACCAAAGAACATCAAAAAATGAACTTGATCAAGTTCAAATAAGACTGGAACAATTATCTGCTATACAACAACCATTAGGTTCTTCCACGCCTCACTTATCATCCGAAAATCAGTCAACGGATTTACAAAATCTAAGAAATACCATCAATACGATACAAGATGCACAGGGAAGTACAAAAAGAGAAGTTGATCAACAACGAGAAAAATTAGAGGTCTTTCAGAAACAGCTAGAAGCTAAGCAATTAGCTATTGACAGTTTAAAAACCGACCAAAGAACATCAAAAAGTGAACTTGATCAAGTTCAAATAAGATTGAAACAATTATCTGCTACACAACAACCATTAGTTTCTCCCACGCCTCACTTATCACCCGAAAATCAGTCAGAAACAAATAACCTACGAGGAGAGATTGCGAAGGTTAGCGCTGCGAATGGCGAACTGAAGAAACAACTGAGAGATTTAGAAACAAGATTAGACAGCAGTGTGCTAGAAGGAGAGGTAGCGAATATTAGGAATAAATTGAGTACTTTGGAGCAGGCATTTGAAAAGCAACAGCGCATATTAGCTTCGATGGAAAAGCCGGAAGATCTAGAGTCCTTAAAAAGTCAGCAGTTGTCGATGGCAGATAACATACGTGCACTTGATAGTCAGTTGCGAAACTTGCAGTCCCAGTCAGCATTGCCTCCGATCATCACGTTTGATCCATCAGCGGCTAAGACATCTGATCTTCAAGCGTTGCAGTCTAGTCTTAGAGCGATTCAAGAGGAACAACCAAGACTACGCTCTGATTTAACTCAATTAAAGGGACAAATCGAGGAGACGTTGAGGTCAGAGTGGAACGCGGTACAAAATGATTTGAAAGACATGAGACAGCATCATGCAACATTGTCACAAAAACAGTTCGAGCTTGAACAAAAACTTACATCTCTTCTTACTTCATCAACAACTCCAGCCGTACCTTCAAATACAAATGGATTGTCTCTGGCCGACGTGGAAGGTTTAATCAATGCAAGTCAACGACAAGTAACAGCGGAATTAAATGAAATGAATAACTCTATACGAACGTCATTGGGTGAACAAGAGAATTTACGTCAAGAATTAGCTTCGCTTCGACAATTATTGGCAGAACCAAGAGTAGTTCCCCTTCAACAATCACCACCACAATCACAACAACTTTCACCGCAAGATATATTAACAGAGAAAGACAAGTTCGAACTAACAGACTTGATTAATGATACTAATCAACGAACACAAGATTCATTCGATAATTGGAAAAATTCATTTCAAACTCAGTTTGATAAGCAGAAAACAGAACAAGAAAATCTAAACAAGACATTTTCAGAAGCCGAACGAAAATTAAATAGACTTCTAACCGATATGGGTTCTATTCAAGACAAATTACATCGTCTAGCAAATAACAATCTACCAATAACAAAACTGGATAAACCAGCCGAAGCATCACCTTATCGAAAAGTCATTGATAATACGATGCCATTCATTGAATTATTACCACCTTTAGATCTTATTACTGATGGATGGAATGCTTAAAATCTAGCGAAATATTCATCTTCTCGTTTCTTTCTGTTTTGCTGAAAACGAGAAGGTCAAAACAGCTAGAATAATGATAACCGTCTACAGAAGCCATATACTTCTTCAGTAAATCAGACTCTGTCGAAATATTGTCGCTCATATGTGAAATATATATTTGCATAACATTTCAAAAACATTCGCAACATGAATGCATTCGAAAACATGATTTATTTTTATGATTTCTCATTACTCTGACTATATAGGTAGAAAGAAAGTTGCTTCTTTTCTTTCTTTCGTTTTTAAAACACAATATCCGACGCGATCATGACATTAACAACAGCAGTTATTATGAATTCTGTGCAAATCTAAGGTGTTCGTAATCCAAACACGTAAGAAGTTTGTTTCTTTTTTTTGGCATGGTTTAAATCAATTGTCCTTACATGTACTGATACATAATTTATGTTATCATAAGAGAACTTTAATTAATACATTGAAAATTAAACATAGAGAACGAAGTATGCACACAATATTGCACCTTGTTTATATCAGTTTTGTGCTAGAAGTAAGTTGTTGATGGTGTGAAAATGAATTATCCTTTTGCTTTTATTTTGCATATAAATTAAGAAAACTTCGTTTTTTATTGTATCACGTTATGATCCATCTTCATTTCATCCGCACTGTAAAAAATAAAGTGAATCACCAGTGAGTAAAATCGTCTCAGTAGGTAAAACGATCCATTTAGATGAGTCACGGCTCACTAGGTCTCCTGATGGGTCGAATTCTACTGAGGTATTTTAAAAGAATGTTATTAAAGCGGGTTAGCGCTTTGTTTATTTCTTTGCTTTTTTTCAACACTTCAGAACAAATGTCTAAAATTAAGTTTAGATTCGAAATCAGCATGTTAAAAAACCTACACACGGTTATTTTCAGCCCACAATAAGCAAACGAAGATGAGCTAGAGGGCCGCCCTCTAAAGTCCACCTAAAAAGTTTTCAGAGCAAAAACTGAAATATGAGGACGAATCAAGTTTTTTAACTGAAGAGAGATCTATCAACTAGCACAAGCTTTGTTAGAATGCAAAACGTTACTTGAATTGAGCTTCACAAATGAACAAAAATATTACTCCAATAAGCGAGGCACATTGTACGAGTAAATGTACTTTTGATCACCAAACGCCTTTAGATACAAATGATCACTAAAGAAAGATACTTTTGATCACCAACTTTTCCAGCATCACATTTTTATACATATAAACATATAAATTTTAACAAAGACAATATTTTCACAGTTTTATTTACATTTATTTACAAATTTAAAGCTGGTTGAATGTATGTAGTCAAATTTCTTCATCTCTTCTTTATTCATTCATAATATCAGTCAAATTTCACCATCTCTTCTCTGCTTCTTCTTATGTATATACCCTAAAGTTTAATCATTTGTAAAAATGTCAGCATCAAACTGGATTCTATTAAGTATAGTAAATTTACTTGATGATGTTAAAGCTGTTGCGAAATCATATGGTGTATGTCAATGTCGAACAAATAATCTTAAGGATCATACAAAATACTCGTTTAAATGTTCTCAATATCGTCGAAATCTCTTCTCGAAATCTGGTGACTAAACAACAGTGGGATGAAATCGATAAAGAGATCCATGCTGTATAATTGAGTTTTAGCGACGAAGTATTTAATCATGGAATGAATCTTCTAATGACTAAATGGCGTTCTGATACATCGTTGACTAAGTTTTGTGATTATTTTTATGATCAATTGGTCGGAAAATTGTCATACTGGTAATAGAACTTTGGAAGTCCTATAGCCCTGTTTAACGTTCTATTCATAATTTTCTGTACCTGAAAACTCTGGTTGCATCAACGTTCTCGAAGAAAAGTCCGAGTAAAACATGATGCAATCGACGGGAAATGTAATATATGAATATGCAGATAGGTATGAAGGATATGCGCTAAATATACCAGCCACAAACAACGGTTGTGAATCAATGAATGCTAAAATCAAGCAGCAATATACACTTCGAAATAAATTACATCTGTCGTCATTTCTTCCAAAGATTGAGACCATGCTGGGTGATTGGTCGAAGCATTGTGACACCAATCCATT